GGGTAAACCATGCTTTTTCACATGGTGGTCTTAAACCACAGCGTTTCAGGTGAGCAAAAGCAGAAGCTACAAGGCCTTTTTAGGCTTAGACTTGGAAGTTCCACAACATCACTTCCACTATATTCTGTTCAAAGCAATTCACAACATCAGCTCAACTTCAAGGAATTGAGAAAGAGGTTTTCTTCTTGAGAGAGTGGAAACAAGCATTGCAAAGGGACAAATATGCAGGATGGTAGGGATTATTGCAGCTATCCTTGCAAATTAATCTGCAACACAAAGTTTAACAAGTTACCTAAGAATACATCTAACAAAATATGTGTAAGATCTATACGGAGCAAATTACAAAACTTTATTCAAAGACATTATATTAAATGTGGTATATGTGTACCATAGAGTACTACTCAGCCATTTAAAAAATGGTGAATTAATACCTCTTGTATTAACCTGAATGGAACTGGAGCCCATTCTTCTAAGTAAAGTATCACAAGAATGGAAAAACAAGCACCACATGTACTCACCATTAAATTGGTACTAATTGATCAACACTCATATGCTCACGTGGAAGTAACATTCATTGGGGATTGGGCAGGTGCAGGGGGAGAGGGGCTGAGTAAATTCACACCTATTGGGTACTGTGTGCACTATCTGGGGGATGGGCACAGTTGTAGCTTGACTCAGGTGGTGCAAAGGCAATTTATATGACCAAAGTGTTTGTACCCCCCTAATATTCTGAAATAAAATAATAAAAAAAATAAATAACACATTATATAAGACCTAAGTAAAGAGGTACACATGTTCAAGAATAAGAAGATGTAAAATGGTAGTTTTTCTATATATTCAATCAATTCCAATAAAAATTCCACAAGATTTTCAAGGACCTTAACAAGCAGAAGGCCTAAGAATAGCCAAGACACTCCTGAAAAAGAAAGGGGGAAGGAGAATCACCCTACTACAATGTAAAAACTTGATATAGTTGTAATTGAGACAGCGTGGTATACATGCAGGAATAAACAATCGGCTAATGAAAGAAGCTACATATGCATGAACATTTGATGTGTGAAGGAGGCATAGCAGGTCACTGGGACTAAGCAATAAATAGCCCAGGGATTACCATTTGGAAAAAAAGTGCATCCCTACTTCAAGCCATATCAAATAATCAGTTAGTGATAGTTCAAAGACTTAAATGTGAAACTTTTTAACTTTTAGAAGAAAATATGGGAGAATATATTTTTGGCTTTAGTGTAGAGTAGGTTTTCTTTAAAAATAGAAAGAATGCACTAAACATAAAAATAAAGATTAATAAATTTATTTAAGCATAAATTAACAAATTTTGTTATACTGTAAAGAAAGAAAACATAAGGCCAAAGTTGGGGGATTTTGCAATATCTCTAATCCACATAGAATTATTTTTCAGAATATATAAAAACTCTTAAAAGTTTTGAGAAAAAGACAAATAAATACAATTTAAAAGAAATAAAAATAGGCAAAAGGTAGAAATAGATATTTCCCAGAAGAAAAAACACAAATGGTGAGTAAATACTTGGAAAAAATACTTAGCTTTATTATTTTTTAACCAGGAAAATGCAAATTAAGACAACTATAAAATACCATGTTATATACTAGAAGTCCACCAATCATTCTGAGGCTATAGCTCAAGGACATTGGTACAACTGATTTGGAAAACAATCTGCCAATGTCATCTAAAGTTGAATATTTGTTTGTGTTAAGACCGAGAAATTCTACTTCTAGACTTATTCCCTAGAGAAACTCTTAAACACTTACATGAGGAGATGTATAAAGTATTAGAGCAACACTTTATCACAGAAGAAGGAAAAGAACCACTTGATACACTACAAGGAAATTGTCAAAGACACTCTTCTGCAAAGGATTATTGCATGTCCTTTCTTCCTGACAGCACTTGATTTAGAGTGAAGCCTTGCTTCCTTGGACCCTCCTCAAAATCACCCAGTCAAAGCTCAAATCCTATAATGGGTTCTTTCTAACATCGCTCTTACTGAGACACTCCATGGTTCCCCTTGGCGTGCACTCTCCCATGCTACAAGGAGTAATTAACCCAACTTTTTCAACAATAAGTGTGTTTCTGGTGGTCTTTGGCTGGAGAACATTGAGCAGACTCAAGCAGAGAGGAGGGAAAAAAGAAAGAACCAAGAAGGCAGAAGGGTGAGTTCTCAAGGCCAAACAGTGCCTAGGGGTGGTTGGGACTGGCTGTGGCTGGGTTGGTCAGGGAAAGGTGGATGCTATTCCCAAACATTCCAGGGACAACCAACACACATCCAGTGTTTCTGCAGCACTGCCATATCCACTGTTCATAAACCTCATGTGGACAAAAATGCATCAGGAAAGGGGGCTCAGATAGGTTATATGACTTACTCAAGGTCTCTCTGCCAATGAGAGGTAGAAGCAGGATGGCAACCTAAGTGCAACTGACTTCAATCCCACATGCCTTTGTCCCTCTTACTCCACCCACTTGGCCAGGAGGAGCCACTGGCTGCATCTTCAGAGAACACAGAACAGGAAGCCGGAGAAGCCAGGAGCCAAAGGTGAAAAGAAATTTCCTCTGGAGGGTGGTTCAGAAGGGTACCAGGTCCTTTTCCTCTCTTCCCTCTTATAAGCAACTAAGGAGGAGTTAAAAAACATGAACCCCTAGAACTAGGAGTGAAGAAAGGTGCTATTTAAACTGGTCACTCAGTATCATTGGTCACTGGGCCTGCACATCACCGGGGCCCCAGAGCAGAGCTTCCCTGAAATGACAACTGGAGGCGGCTCCCGTGGAGTCACATCGTCCCCGTGACTCATGCTGTTGGCTCTTCCTTACTTTGTGGAAATGAGACAATCAGGATGCTGCTGGGCCCGGTTGCTGGAAATGAGCACCGTGGTCTCTGGGAGCCACCCAGACAGGCCGCACTGCTGGGAAGTCCCCTGGGCCATCACCGCAGGGATCCTTGAGTGCCCTGGATGCTTGGACTGAGCCAGGAGAAGGAATCCTCACGTCCCACACGAACAGCTCCGGGTAGCTGGCCCCACCGACAGCCTGCAGCTCTTAGCGCCCGGCTCTCCAGAGCCTGGGAGTGGGGACAGGCTGTGCAGAAGTGGATCTCCAGGCCTGGGGCATGTGACCGTGGGGTAGGGGCTGTTCCTCAGGGTGCAGACGCCTCTGGGCTCTGTCCCTGAGGGACATACTGGCACCTCTCCTTGTGTCTAGCCCGTCTGTTCTCTCTCAGCTGAGGTCAGGGCTACTTGGTAGATGAGAATTCCTTTGAGATTTGCCGTGTTTTCTCCTGAGGGAAACTTACGCCATCTTTCTGGATTGTAGAGATTTGAGTAAAGTTGGCATTATAACATTAGCAGAGAATTTGGCTAGATGTAGAAGCAGAAGAAACTGAAGGAGGACTACCGACAGCAACATTCTTGGGGAGCCGGCGGCCGGGGGGTCAGACACTCTTGGAGACTGTACCTGGCAAATCCCAAGTTGGCCATGTACGCAGTAAACCCACCCTCCCACCACACCCTTTCCTGTCTCAGCCTTGGCTGGCTTCAGTGTCCGTGTGAAGATTCCCTTTATCACTCTGGCCCCACAGACCCTTGGCCCCACGGTCTCTACTTCACTCCACCTGCCACACATACACCCACGCTCAAGCCATGCCACCACCCTTACCTCCTCCACATCTGCAATCCCAAACTCTGTTCCCTGACCCCCAGTCCTATCTTTCCAACTCTGTCACTCTATTATTTTCACTCTGTCTATTCTTTACCTGAGGAAACCCCCTAGTTTCTAGAGACTCTGGTGTTCTCTTGCTCTGATTCTGTCTTAGTCTTGGTGTGGGTTTGAGGGAAAGAGGAGGAGGACAGGAGGAGGCTTCCACCTGATAGGCTGTCAGGGCTGCGGTTGGCCCTGCAACCCATCTGGGAGGGGGGAGGAAGGGAGGGCGTCAGCTGGGGTCCGGGCTCTGCAGAGAATGGGCCTGGAACAATTGGGAACAAAGGCTGGATACTCTTCCGCTCAGCCCCACAGCCTGGCCTTGGCCTTCCGGGAACAGCTTCAGGAAATGGCTGAGATTCCAGATTTGGAAGGAAGAGACCTGTAAACTGGAGCTGGGCTCTGAGAGGGGAGAGCAGCCTCCCTCTAGGTTGGGGGTGGGTGGCGGGGGCAGCTGACATTACAGCCTCAGAAGCTGCAAGTCCTGCCTGCTATAGACACAGACGCAGGGTCTCAGGACTGGAAAGACTCTTCAAAGATCATTTGCTCCAACCACATTTCCAGGGCCTGGAAGATATCCCTGCCGAGGATGCTCGAATAGTTTCAGTGATGGGATGTGCATAAGAATAAGTAAAAAATTCTGACTAACCTTTACTGAGCACTTATAGTGTGTCGGGCACTTCATGTACTAAGTGGTTTCATCAGTACTGTAGCTCTCAAGCTAGGAGCTACTATTATCATTCCCATTTTACACATAAAGAAACTGACTTACAGGGTTAGCTAAGGCCTCCACCAAGCTATTTCATCCATCTCTGAGCTGAATATGGACATGCTCTGTGGGAATCTGCCAGCTTGGCCCAGAGGCTGAGTACCTCTTACCTTCTGCCCTACCGCCCCCCTGCCCTAGGTGTCCCTGGGGAAGGGGACTGTGGGATGACAGCCCAGCCCTGCTCCCCACCCCCCCCCACTCAGCTTCTCCATGCTGTGCCCCAAGACTCTGCCTCTGGTTTCCAGCCCACTCTAGCAGGTGCCACCTGGAAGCAAAGGGATAGGGTTGGGGCTCAAGGATAAGATTTAAATAGATTTTTAGGGCTGAAGCTTTAAGGCTGTGGTTGGAGTTATGCTTAATGTGAGGACTCCCTTTAAGAAGTTCCGGACGTGAACCCCAGGGCTGAAGTTAGGGCTGGGGAGATGGCTTAAGGGTCGAGGTCAGAGAGTTTCTCGCCTCTGGTCTCCTCCCAGTTCTCCAGGCCACTAAGGGCCAGGCAGGAAGCATCGGTTTCCTCAAAGCCGCTTCCCTCCTGGGGCAGTCTCCGTCACAAACAACCACCGCCACCCCACCCCGCCCCTCCTTCCCTCTCAGCTGTGAGATCAGAGCAGTAGGACAAAGTGCCCGGGACAAGGACAGAGGCCTGAGAGCCGCCATGGGCTCTGGAGGAGTCAGTCTCCCAGGGCCCGGGTGGCCCCTGCCCCTCCTGCTCCTGCTCGTCACAGGTGAGTGTGGCTCCCTCCTCCCGGCCTATGCTCCCTCCATTCTAGGCCGGGTCAGGGCAGCAGAGGGCCACTGGCTCCTTTGCTTGCCTTTTTCAGTGGGGGTACCAGAGATGATGAAGGTGATGATGATGATGACTATGTGTGTGCGTGTGCATGACACAGCCGTGGCCTGGATGCCATGCACGTTGGCCCCCTCCCCTGCCACTCCCTGCTAGCTTGTTATCTGACCTTCTCGAGCACAGGCCGCCAGGCAAACCTGCACACAACAGCAGACAGATGAGGCGAGGGCGGGGATTTGGCCAGTGTAGGTGGTCAGACCTGGCTCTGCTCCCTTTCCCAGGAGGCATGGCTCAGGACTCCCCGCCCCAGATCCTAGTCCACCCCCAGGACCAGCTGCTCCAGGGCCCTGGCCCCGCCAGGATGAACTGCCGAGCCTCCGGCCAGCCGCCTCCCACCATCCGCTGGCTGCTGAATGGACAGCCCCTGAGCATGGTGCCCCCAGACCTACACCACCTCCTGCCTGATGGAACCCTCCTGCTGCTGCGGCCTCCTGCCCAGGGACATGCCCACGATGACCAAGCCCGATCCACAGACCTAGGCGTCTACACCTGTGAGGCCAGCAACCGCCTGGGCACAGCAGTCAGCCGAGGTGCCCGGCTGTCTGTGGCCGGTGAGCCTGGGAAGAGGCCCAGGACGGGGCACACCTGGGCTGAGATGTTGCCCAGAGCCGAGGGAAGTTCAGCGATGTCTGTGAGCAGGCCGAGGCCTGGGCTGGACACTCGGGAAGGAGAGCTGGGCTGGGGCCGGCCTGGGAGGTGGGCGGAGCAGAATGGGGCAAGTGTGGTAGGGGAGGAGAGGGGAGGGCAAGGGAGGCTGTGCCTTGCTCCCTGTTGACCCTCCGTCCTCCCAACAGTCCTCCGGGAGGATTTCCAGATCCAGCCTCGGGACACAGTGGCTGTGGAGGGCGAGCAGGTGGTTCTGGAATGTGGGCCGCCCTGGGGCCACCCAGAGCCCACGGTTTCATGGTGGAAAGATGGGAAACCCCTGGCCCTCCAGCCAGGGCGGCACATGGTGAGTGTACCCCCCCCTGCCCACGACTGGGCACACCTGAGGGACCGGCCTGCTCTCTAACCCTGTGGCCCCGACAGAATTTGAGCAAGGGAGGGCAGTGTGGCCTCAAGCTTCCCTCCAGCCTCTGAGACCCTCCGCACGTGGGAGACTTCACAGTGCCCCTGCCTTGACAGGTGTCCAAGGGTTCCCTGCTGATGACGAGAGCAGAGAAGAGTGACGCAGGGACCTATATGTGTGTGGCCACCAACAACGCAGGGCAGCGGGAGAGCAGAGCCGCCAGGGTGTCTGTGCAGGGTAAGGCAGGGGGTCAGCTGAAGTCCGGGCTGGCTGGGGGACTCCAGTGAGCTGGGGTGGCGTGCTCTGGTCTAGGCTGGGGTTAGGGTGTGTGGGGTTCAGTGTGGGGACAAGGGTCAGAGTGGTGGGGGTCCTCACATAGGAGAGGTTCCCCCTGCTAGAGTGGAAACAGGAGTGCCACACTTGGGGACTCCGGGAGTTTGGCTTCCTCCGTGGCTGGGGGATGTTCCACACCCCAGTTCCTTCACTCCGGCCTGTAGGCCACAGCCCAGCCCCATGCTCCCCGCAGAGCCCCGGGACTTCAAGGAGCCTCTGGAGCTTCTGGCCGTGCGCATTCAGCTGGAAAACGTGACACTGCTGCAGCCGAACCCCGCAAAGGGCCCCAAGCCTGGGCCTGCCGTGTGGCTCAGCTGGAAGGTGAGGCCAGAGCCTAAGGGTGAGAGCTGTCCAGAGCTCAGGACAGGGCTGGCCGTGAGCTCCCTGGCTCCTCACCCTTCCGCCCGCCTCCTCCCCAGGTGAGTGGCCCCGCTGCACCTGCTCAGTCCTACACGGCCTTGTTCAGGACGCAGACTGCCCCAGGAGGCCAGGCAGCTCCGTGGGCAGAGGCGCTGCTGGCCGGCTGGCAGAGCGCAGAGCTTGGGGGCCTCCACTGGGGCCAAGACTATGAGTTCAAAGTGAGACCATCCTCCGGCCGGGCTCGGGGCCCCGACAGCAACGTGCTGCTCCTGAGGCTGCCAGAACAAGGTCAGGGACTGATCCCTCCAGAACCCAACATTATCCCCTCTGGCTCCTTCTTGTTTGGGTCCCCTGGACTGTCCCACTCCAGTCTGGAGGGATGGCGGGTTCTGCTCCTGGACTCACCTCTGCCCTGGCCAGACAAGGAGAGCTTCGAGAAGCTTGTATTCTCCTCAGTGGGGCTCTGGCTCTGTGTCCCCCATTCTAAATCTCTCCCCTAGACTCCTCTTCCTCAGCACCCCTTACCGCCTCTCTTCCTCCCCTCCAGTGCCCAGTGCCCCACCCCAGGAGGTGACCCTAAAACCTGGCAATGGCAGTGTTCTTGTGAGCTGGGTTCCACCACCTGCTGAAAACCACAACGGCATCATCCGTGGCTACCAGGTACCCCCCACAAGCTGCCACAGCCCTTCCTGGGGGTACCAGGGCATCTATTTCACCTGGAGTCCTGCAGACCCTTGCTCTGGGCACTGAGAAACAGTACCCGTGTGGAGAAGCAAAGGAAACTTACTTTTGTTGAGCAAGGACCTACTGTCTGCCAGACCTTGCCAAGCACTTTGCCTCCACGATCTCACTTCACCTCACACACAGTCTACCCTAGGATATTATCCCCAATTTACAGACGTGGAAGGTGAGGCTAAGGTAACAGGTGAAAGAAACAGAACAGGAATCACATCAGGTTGTATCTGACTCTAAACGTCTAAGACAGTGGCGCTCTAAAAGTGGCTCCTGGACCAGCAACATCAGCCTCACCTGGGAACTCGTTAGGAAAGCCCGTCCCCAGGCCTTTCACCGGCCTGCTCAATCAGAAACTCCCGCAGGCTGTAATTTAGCAAGCCTTCCAGGTGATTCTGGAGCACACTGAGTTTGAGAACCACTGGTTTTAGGCATATTTTCACAGGTTGCTTTTGTCCTTCTTCTGTTGGTTTCGAGAGAAGTCTCTCTCACTTTGTAGAGGAGAGGGGACTAGGAAGTGTGGGTGCATGTTGGGGGGCTCCCCAGGTGGATGGCAGGGCAGGCCGACCACGTGCCTGGAGTCCAACCTGCAGATGGCGGGTGCGGCTGTTGGGACGGTGTCCGGGTGGCTGCTCACCTTTGCTTGTGCCTCAGGTCTGGAGCCTGGGCAACACCTCACTGCCCCCAGCCAACTGGACTGTAGTGGGAGAGCAGACCCAGCTGGAGATCGCCACCCGAATGCCAGGCTCCTACTGCGTGCAAGTGGCTGCGGTCACTGGCGCTGGGGCTGGGGAGCCCAGTAGCCCTGTGTGCCTCCTTTTAGGTGAGAGCAGTGCCCATGGGCCCCAGCCATACCCTGCACCCCCGTTCCCACCTTTCCCTCCTCCTGCCTCACACTTCCAGCTTCTCCCTCTTGTCTGCTGGACCCTCACGCCTCGCCTGCCCCTCTGCCTGAGCTCTGCACCCCATACAGAGCAGGCCATGGAGCGAGCTGCCAGAGAACCCCTTGAGCATGGCCCCTGGATCCTGGAGCAGCTGAGGGCCACCTTGAGGCGGCCAGAGGTCATTGCCAGTGGCGGCATTGTTCTCTGGCTGCTGCTGCTGGGCATCGCTGTGTGTATCCACCGCCGGCGCCGAGCTGGGGTGCACCTGGGCCCAGGTGAGAGTTGAGGGAGACACTAAGGTGGTTAGCCTTCCCCTGGGTTCGGCCATAACAACACTGCAGGGGCTTTAGATCTCTGGCCAGGTGATGGAGCCTCTGGATTTACCCCTCCTCCTGCCTTCCTCCAGGTCTGTACAGGTATACCAGCGAGGATGCCATCCTAAAACACAGGTGAGAGATGAAAGTGGCTTGAGATGGGGGGGACGGGGAGGCCAAGGGACAGTGGGGCTAGGACAGAGTATTGAATGGGGTACTAACCTGTCCGCTAGTCAGTTTGAGACCCTAGTACCTGAATCTCTCCTGAACTCCAAGTGAGAGTTCATTTCTTTTTCATTAATGTTTCTATCACACCATTTGAGAGGTGAGTAAACTGAGACTCATAAAACGAGTGACTTTGCTCAAGGCTGCACAACTAGGAGCTGGTCTCCTGAATCCCTAACCCAGTGATTTTGTCACCCTCCTGTTATTAACACACACCACATGTTTCTGCTTTCTTACTCTGCTGGGGGAGAATAGCCAGCATGGCCAGCTCTGGTGTCTGATGTTCTCTGCAGGCCCGTTGTCTGCTGAGCAGAGCCTCTGCATTCAGTCCGTCCCTGCTGAGCTCTTTCCTGCGCCGCAATCCACCCCCAGCTCCAGCAGAGGGCGTCCCGCCCCTACATCATGGATTTTTACTCTTCGTTCTTGAAACCAGGGCCAGACTGTAGGCACTTCTGCTCCAAGTGTGTTTGGCTGCCAGAGCAAGCCTGTGGTTGTCAGACAAGACACTAAGAACATCCTTTTTGCTCCTATTGGCTGAGTTTTACACCAAGTAACCATTTTATCTCTCTGTTTTGCCTCCTTGGCTCTTTATCGTGTTAGATTTCCTCTGGGAGGCTTCACACCCCGGGTCTGTATCTAACAACACAAGTTATCAAGCACCTACTGTGTGCCAGATACATCCAGGCCTGGGGCTGCCATTTTGCCGTCAGATTCTCAGCTCAGAACATGATTCCAAGTTGGCTGGTGGTGTGTGCCGGAGTTTTTCTGTGCTCACTGGCTTCTCTCTTCTTGTACTTCCTGGGCTTTTTCCGCTCTGCCCTGAACTTTCTCTGTCTCTCCTGGGACCTTCTCTCTTGCACTTGAGGGAGATGCTGTTCTGATGATTTATTTCGTTTGTTCACTCCTTTGGCATAGTCTCCATGTGCCAGGAATGCTCAGCCTAGGCAGACACAGGCATGAGAGCATTTGAGTGCAACGGCGTGGGCAGTGCAGAAGCACATACAGGACACGTGGAGCGGGGCAGGGCAGGGAAACGCAGGACAAAGAAGATTCTGCATTTACGCTGAAGTGAGAAGGGGAAGGGCAGAGGGAACAGCAAGTAATAGCCTGCTGCCTCCACAGGCAAAGACAAGCCATTCGTTCTCGCTGAGGCACAGAACGTGAGGTGGATCCGAGCAAAGGATAAAGTTAGGGAACTGGAGGCCGGACCGAGGAGGGCTCACCCACCCTGTTACCCATGCTGGGCACCTGGGCTCTATCTTGGCAAATGGGGAGCCACTGAAGGTTTTAAGCAGAGAAGTGCCTGTTCTTAAAGGATCGCTCAGGCAGCTGGAGGCCAACATCCATGCAGCAAGCTCCTGCTCTGCCGACTGAGCGATCTCACATTTCCTCATTTAAACTCACAGCAACAGCCTTGAGTGTAGAAGGCCTTACTGTTGCCATTTTACAGATGAGGAAACTAGGGCTCAGAGAAGCTAATGCATTTATATATTTACCTAGGGTTGCACAGCTAACACTGGCAGATAGGGATTTTCAAACCAGATTTGTCTGGCTCTAGATCTTCTATCCTTTTCATCTCAGCATACATAGTTGTCTCTTGTTAATAGCTCCTGGCTCTGGGCAACTTGGATTTCCCTTGATTCCAGGATAGAAAGGAGCGCTGAGTCTGGGACACCAGGTTGGAGATCTTAAGGAATCTGTGAAGGGCTGCAAAGTAGTAGTAAAGATAAAGCCATCGTCTCCTCAACCCCTTCTGCTACCATCGGAGCTGGAGGTCTTGACCAACTAGGTTCTCACTTCCCCCTGTTTTTCCCCACCGCACCCCCACCCTCCAATGCCCCAGGATGGATCACAGTGACTCCCCCTGGCTGGCGGATACTTGGCGCTCCACTTCTGGCTCCCGGGACCTGAGCAGCAGCAGCAGCCTCAGCAGTCGGCTGGGAGTGGATCCCCGGGACCCCCTAGACAGTCGTCGCTCCTGTGAGCATGCCCAGTGGGGGCACAGGCCTGGCGGGGATGGGGGGGCAGGAATGTGCTCACCGTAATTCCTCCTGTCGTTTTGATCGTAGTGATCTCCTGGGACCCCCGAAGCCCCGGTGTGCCCCTGCTTCCAGACACCAGCACTTTTTATGGCTCCCTCATCTCTGAGCTGCCCTCCAGCACCCCAGCCCGGCCGAGCCCCCAGGCCCCAGCTGTCAGGCACCTCCCGCCCCAGCTGGCCCGGCTCTCCAGCCCCTGGGCCAGCTCAGACAGCCTCTGCAGCCACAGGGCACTCTCTTCTCCACGCTTGTCTCTGGCCCCTGCTGAGGTTTGGAAGGCCAAAAGGAAGCAGGGTAAGGATGGGAAGGCTAGGCAGAGCCTGAGCTGGAAGTAGGAGAGCTGGCGAGTGGTTGTCTAAAGAAAGTGCTGACTAGCATACAAGTTATGCTAGAGCCTGGCAGAATGTGACCAGCACTAGCACAAAGCCTCCGGCTCCTATGAACTTGTCTCCTTGGGCGCTACGTACAGGCGTGCTTGGGCACCGGCTCCTTTCTGGACTGATTTCTCTCCTGTCTTCCAGTTGTCTGCTCTTACTTTATGGAGAGAAATAATTATAGTCTCCATTTCTTGAGCAACTACTATACGCTAGGTGCTTTACCTATATTTGTTATTCACTTAATCTAGGTATTATTTTTCTAATTGTACAGAGAAGAAAGAGGGTCAGAATGATTGGGTAACTTGTTCAAAATTGCACAGGCACTAAGCCACAGAACTCAAGTTTGAAATCAGGATGGTCTGCCTCCTAAGGCTACTCTGAATCTCTCAGCTCCCTAGGGAAATCCTATTCTCTCGCTATTTCCTCCCATTCTGACCTGCAGAAGGCTGACCTGCACCCTACCTCCTGTCTTCATGAGTCTTCTGTGCTGATTAGTAAGACTTAACAAATGTTCTACAGCCAACTCTTTTTTTTTTAAGTGGATACAATCCAACTTTTATTAAGCAAAGATGGATTAAGAGTAAGAGCTTGTTCATTACCCAGAATTTTATGACTCTAAATGTTAGCAAAGCTGGCATTCTTACCAGCTTTGCTTCAGAGCTATTGCATTATAAATCCTTGGTGATAATGAAACGCCAGCTAAAAAGAGGTTGAATAAGTCTCATTTTAAAAACAGCTTTTGCATGGAGAACTGCACTGACTTTAACAGATTGTACAGCCTCTCTTAGAACATTAATACTATGAGGGAAAGGTGAGTGGTTTTCTAAAGTCAGTTCTTAAGAAGGGTTCCAATTCTGAGATGAGGCTTCCTAACCTGTGGTTTAGGTCCTCAGTTCACCCCCTGTTTCTCCTTACCCCATCCCCATCTCACCACTGCCCCAAGTTAGAGCAATTGCAGTGACTCTTCTTGGCTGCTGGACACATGATGTTCCACCTCTGGCTCCCAGGACCTTGGAAGCAGCAACAAGATCATTTCTATGATTTTGTCCAGAGCCATGGAGTTGATTCTTCTGCTGTCACCTCATCCAAAGACAGATGTTTCTGACTTTTCTAAAACTGTCAGGCTCTTTCAGTGCCAACACTCCCCTTGACCTGCTTGTTCCTTTTTCTTATTATTTGACCTTAGTTGGGGTTTTTCTCCACCACCGATATGCTCACAACTACACTCTCCCATCTCTCATCCATTATATCAGGTTCTTAGTTCTGCTCACTTTGCCAGATATATGCACTGAATATCCTCATTCATTTATTATTTCATTCAAACAAATATTTAGTACAATTCATCTATGCCAAATGAGATTTGACCTTTCACCTTGATAACATTTTTATTGTATAGTTTCTTTCTCTTCTTTTCTTTTCTTTTCTTTTCTTTTCTTTTCTTTTCTTTTCTTTTCTTTTCTTTCTTTTCTTTTCTTTCTTTTCTTTTCTTTTCTTTTCTTTTCTTTTCTTTTCTTTTCTTTTCTTTTCTTTTCTTTTCTTTTCTTTCATCTGGCTCTGTTGCCTAGGCTGGAGTGCAGTGGCATCATCATAGCTCACTGTAACCTCAAACTCCCGGGCTCAAATAATCCTCCTGCCTCAGCCTCTGGAGTAGCTGGGGCTACAGGCATGCACCACCATGCCCAGCTAATTTTTCTATTTTTGTAGCAACTCGGTCTCACTATGTTGCTCAGGCTGGTCTCGAACTCCTGGCCTCAAGGGATGCTCCTGCCTTGGCCTCCCAAAGTGCTGGGAGACAGGCGTGAACTACCATTCCTGGCCTAGTTTATTCACATAGCATTGAAACTAAAGTCCAAGTACTCTAAGCAAGAATCTTTTTGTTACCAGGGTCCCTTAGAGAAAATGAAATGGGCTGGGATAAATATGGCCTTTTCCAAGCCTGGCTTTTTCCCTTCCCTTCCCACTCAAACCAACCAACTAACTTGTGCTCACATCTCTGAGCTTAATTAAGAAGCTAGGCACTAGTCAATACAAAGCTTGATGATAGTAGAGTTGGAGCACCAACCTGGAAGTTGGCCCCAGGTTTCTGTAGGTCATATGAAAATTAAGGGAAATGAATAAAAACCAACCCAGCCAAAGTACAAAAGGAAACTGTAATGAAAGAAGTCTAGACATTGGGTGGGTTTTCATCCCAGTGGATCAGAAGGTCTGGCCACTGGTACCTGGATTCTTAGGGACCAGGTGGGGTCTTGGTCAGTGCCAAAGCCTTGATCTCTTCCCTGCTCTGAAGCTGCCTATAGTGGCTTCCAGATCTTGAGGTCAGACTGACCAGATAGCTCTACCAACAAGGGAGACCCTTTCCTGGCTGGGCTTCTAATCATATGACGCTAATCTCAAGACCATTTATTTTCTCCTTTGTTGGATGTTCTCCTGGTTCCTGATCCTGGGAGAATCTCTTCCCTCTATTACCCTGTTCCTGTCTGGTTTAAATTTTGATCCCTTTGAGTTCTAGACTGACAAAGAAGCATGCTCACAGGTCATTGCCCATGGCTCCGGCTGTCCTTTTGGTTTCCTCAGCTTCTCTGTTGTTGAAGTTCGCTCAGAGCCCTGTCTCTTCCCTGCCCATGCGGGCAAGACTGTAGCTGCCGTCTCATAAGTGACTGCTGTCACCTTGCATTTACGTCACATCTCTGATATCACCCATGCATTCACTTGTTCGTTCAACATATATTATTGAATATCTATGGGCAGGGCATTGCCTCCTGGGTGACACCAATATGTTTTCCTGTTCTGGAGCTCCTCTTCCTGCCATCTGACTCCCTCCTATCACAGCAGTATTGTCTGGGGCTTCTTGTTTTTGTCTCACCCACTCAGCTCAACCTGACAGTCCAACCCATCTCCCAAGTGAGGGACAGTCAGGTTTCCCAGGGCTGGAATCACATGAGATATTTGCAATGTGAGAAACAGAAATTAATAGATTGTCTCCAAGAAAAGGAGGAGTATTTGTCTTTGCAGAGCCAAAATTCATGAGGAGAGTAGCGATGCGAGGGTGTAGAGACCAGGAAGATTGGAATGAATACAGTCAAGGAAAAGAAAGATGTTTTTTAAAGTATCCATTAGGCACCAGGACTTTTGAAATCTGTTTTTATTTATTTGATTGCCAAAACCATCATTTGAAGTGGTTATTTAAAAAGGAACTGATGGCCGGGCGCTGTGGCTCACGCCTGTAATCCTAGCTCTTGGGAGGCCGAGGCGGGCGGATTGCTCAAGGTCAGGAGTTCAAAACCAGCCTGAGCAAGAGCGAGACCCCGTCTCTACTATAAATAGAAAGAAATTAATTGGCCAACTGATATATATATATAAAAAATTAGCCGGGCATGGTGGCGCATGCCTGTAGTCCCAGCTACCCGGGAGGCTGAGGCAGAAGGATCACTCGAGCCCAGGAGTTTGAGGTTGCTGTGAGCTAGGCTGATGCCACGGCACTCACTCTAGCCTGGACAACAAAGCGAGACTCTGTCTCAAAAAAAATAAATAAATAAAAATAAAAAAGGAACTGAGGCTCAGAAAGGTCACTGGGCTCCCTGAAGTCACATAGCTGAGCCGGGCTATGAGGGTGGCCTTCCAACCACAAGCCTGGTGCACTTCGCGCCCTGTTATGGCTGCTGGTTGCAGATGGGGTTGGGAGATAGAGGGGATTGTGTGAGAGTCTTCCGTCTTTTCTCTGTGTTGAGGGCCATGCAGGCTGAATTGAATCACAGGCTGAGGGTGGAGCCTGCAGCTGGGTCTGAAAGGCCCCCAACCACTGACTCTGTGCTTTGCAGAGCTGCACCAAGTCAACAGCTCCCCACTGCTCAGGGCCGGCCGCCCCATGGAGCTCCGGGCCTGGGAGTTGGGAAACAGAGGCTCCAAGAACCTTTCCCAAAGCCCAGGTGAGGGGGTGGTCCCTGAGAGAGAAGTTGGGGTGAGGCAGGGTGTGGAGGACCCTCTGGCAGGCTTCTCCTCCTGTCCCTGGGTAGGCTGGGTGGGTGAGGTGGGAGGATGGGAAGCCGAGGGGTCTGGGTGGGCTCTGGAGCTGATGGGGAGGCTCCCGTTCTCATGCCCAGGCCGCTGCTCCCCAGGCGCTGTGCCCCGAGCTCTGGTTGCCTGGCGGGCCCTGGGACCGCAGCTCCGTAGGTCCTCGAATGAGCTGGTTACTCGCCCTCTCCCTCCAGCGCCCCTCTCTCCTCATGGAAGCCCCACGCAGAGTCAGCAGACCCAGTAAGAGGGCACAGGCTCAGGAGGCGGACCAGGAGGTTGGGGTTGGGGTGTGGCTGGGATTGGATGGGCTGGGGAGGGCTGGCCAAGGACTTGAAGAGCAGCACTGACTATCCTGCTATCACTCTCTGCCCCCAATCAGGCACCTGGTGGCGCCCCAAGCTCCAACCTCTGTCCCTCTGCCAGCAGCCCCTGTCCCCACCCTTAGCCCCAGCGGCACCTCCAGCCCCCAGGCCTCTTCCCTCTCTGGCCCCAGCCCAGCTTCCAGCCGCCTGTCCAGCTCTTCACTGTCCTCCCTGGGGGAGGATCAGGACAGTGTGCTGACCCCTGAAGAGGTGGCCCTGTGCCTGGAGCTGAGTGAGGGTGAGGAGACGCCCAGGTGAGTAGCCCGAGAGGTAACCCCAGGTGAGCAGCTGCAGGAGTATGCTGATCTCTCCCCCATCACAGCATTTCTGCTGCCGCACCACCCTACCCACCCTGACTGTTGCTGCCTTCCTTTTCGCCTCTTCCTAGGAACAGCGTCTCTCCTGCACCAAGGGCTCCTTCACCCCCCACCACCTATGGGTACATCAGCGTCCCAACAGCCTCAGAGCTAGCAGACATGGGCAGGACGGGCACAGAGGTGGGGTCCGGAGTGGGGAGCCTGTTCCCACCTCGGCTCTGCCCCACCCCCACCCCCAGCGAGGGCTCCTTGGCCAACGGTTGGGGCTCAGCCTCGGAGGACAATGCCCCCAGCGCCAGAGCCAGCCTGGTCAGCTCCTCCGACGGCTCCTTCCTTGCCGATGCCCACTTTGCCCATGCCCTGGCTGTGGCTGTGGATAGCTTCGGTTTCGGTCTGGAGCCCAGGGAGGCAGACTGCGTCTTCACGGGTATGTGAGATCACCCCACTTTATTCCTCACTTTCACCCCTTAGAGGGTCACAACTACTGTAAGGCTCCCCTTGTTCCCAAGCAAGAGGCAAGGCTTCCCACCCATCATCGTCACTTCATCATTATTGTTAAAACTTTGTATTGAATGACTAGTATGTCCCAGGTACCAGAATTAGCATTTTATATACATTTAATATTAACAACTCTATGAGGAATATTCTTTATTCCTTTTTTCCAAATGAGGAAACTATAAGTGAGATAGGTTTATTAACTTGCCTAAGGTCACCCACAGAACAAGGACAAACTGTCCAATTCTAAAGGCTCAAGGCAGCCAACTGCAGGCCCATTCCCCTGCCTCCAGGATTCTCCTGTTGCCCAGATATTGGTCTCCAGGAAAGGCTGCTCCAGCCTCTTCCGACTCTTCCTCCCGCCCTGTCCATGGCAGGACCGAGGAGCCACTGGGCTCACCCTGCCGCATCCAGCGGAGTGAGACCATTGTCTCCATGTCAGCAGACGGTAGTAGGTCAGGGCTCCCTTCCCCACACGCCCCGGCAGATCCCCCACGCCCATCTCACTAACTCTAACTCTAACCTCTGCCTCCAAGAACAACCAGGCTTGAGGCTGATGGTGCATGGGAGGGCAAGGATTATCCAGGACAGTCGTGCCCATCATGGAGGGAGAAGAAAGATGGCAGGGAAAGGGAGAGTCAAGAGAGGGTACAGACATAGAGCCAGAGCTGGGCAGGGAGGAAACAGTTCAAGCTCTTCTCTCTAAGGAAACCGATGAATTGGGCCCCTGGGATGTGGCCACTGAGTTGGGGCTAGGTTATATTTGGGGCTGGGTATATGCCCTTAACTTGTCCTAAACTTTCAGCCCTAAACTAGTCCCTAGAGGCTGAAGGTCAACCCCCATCATAGACACCTCTGCCCTCCCTGACAGATGCCTCATCACCTCCCTCCCCGAGGGACGACCTCTTCCTGACCCCCACCCTATCCCTGCCCCTGTGGGAGTGGAGGCCAGACTGGTTGGAGGACATGGAGCCCAACCACACCCAGCGGCTGGGCAGGGGGCTGCCTCCCTGGCCCCCTGACTCTCGGATCTCTTCCCAGAGCAGTCGGCTCAGCTGTCCTGTGCCCAAGGCTGGTGGTGAGTGTCTGTCTGCCTGGCTAACGTGGCCACCTGGACCAGAGGGGCTCTGGGGAGCAGCCCAGAGGAAGCCGGGCCTGGCAGGAGAGCTAAGGAGTGGGAAGATAACGCCACTCTCCTTCAGCTTCTCCCATAGATTCCTCATGAACTGTGCGCCTGAGACTGCCGAGAAGAGAATCAGAACCACCTCTCCTGTCCGCCCACAAGGCCTGGGCTGTGGCATGTGGGTCTTGGCCTACACTTCTCTGCAGTTGGGGTCCACCTTCCCTGACCTTCAGGAGAGTTCTCCTCCCAGGATTGTGAGAACAAATGAAAGCAAAACAAAATATGAGCAAAGCAGACCTGGAGCTCTCAGGGAGCAAAACGTCACACCCACCTGACTCCTAGACGTTGCTTTCTCCTCTGTCCACCCACTCCCACAACCAGGTCACTGTGGCTGAAGGAGCAGCCTGTCTCCTGCTCTCCTCACCCACTTGGATCGGGGAGGTGGGGGAGCCAGAGGTGTCTTCGTGGAGGACGACAGCGACTGGTGGGAGAGGGCTGTGGAGGAAGGAACTTCTCGGAGTCTCCTCCCAGCCTTACCTGGCCTCTCCTCTAGAGGCAAGCTCGACTCTCCCCAACCGCAACGTGCAAAGGAAATATGGAGGAATGCCACCGAGGCAGTGAGGCCCTACCTCGTGCCAAGGCAAAAGGTGCAAGGCTCGGTCTAGGGAGGAAGCTGGAGGAAGGGAAGTGTGAGAATGTGAGACAAAAGCACCCTCCTCATACCCTTGTCACTATGAGCATGAGAAATTCGATACCATTAAACTGTAAGGACTTGAGTGCTTCGAGATCATTCCCTGGGCACCATTTTGGGGAGGACGCCTGGAGACAGAGCAAGAGCTACCTGAGTTAGGAAGGGATCAGCATTCATGGACACTCAGGGAGTGTCACTCATTTCTGTTCTGCAGGTGAAGGGAGGATGCTGTTCACCCACTAGGTGTTAAGCAGAATGGAGGAGAGGGAGAGGTGGGTTTCAGGGTCTGCTGGTCCTGCCAGCATATCCTGAGAAGACAGCTGCTCTCAGCTATCCCAGATGGTTTCTTAATATAGACAAAGCAGTTAAATTCCACAAAAGGTAGAGCCACCTGCAATGGTTGGCTAGGGAACACCCTTCAAACAAAACAGCAGAACGGAGGGATGGGACCTTGCAGCAGGACTTCCAGGGCCTGAGCCACAGAACGCCATGGAGGGCGGGCAGGTCTGTGTCTTCCTTATTGGCGGGAAAGGGCAGAGGGAATCCACAAGTCAGACAAGTTTGGGGTGGGGGTAGTTTGCTACAGAGCGTGACAAGGCCACAGGGAGATACCTTTAGGGAGGGCCGGTTCAGAAGCAGCCCTCCAAACCCAGCAGAACCCAGCCGCTCTTCCCGGAGGCCCCTTAAGGTTCAGAGGCTGAGCTGGGGGGACCGGGAGCTGGGTGCTTCCTGAGCCACATCCATCGGGCCGGTCTGGGCTGGATTTTCATGGTCCCAGGAGGAGGAATCAGTACTCCAGATACACATCTGTTCCTCACTGTTTGCTTTTCCATTTTTAGATTTTGTTTTTCTTTTAGCTTCCTGGTAAAATTCTTTTTGAAAACATTCCAACCCTGCTTGCCAGCCTGAAAGGGAAGGAGGGATTTGTACACACATAGGCCCAAGTGGCAGGCACGGGCAGGGCCTGGCCAGGGAGGGCAGCGGGCACGCCCCAGCGGCAGGGCAGGCATGCGAGGAGGTGGAGCCGGTGAGAAGGAAGCAGAACCCGGGGTAGCCACTGAGTGGGTGGGCCGATTTTCTGCTAGCCAACCTAATCAGGTCTCGGCCCAGTCTGGCCGGGAGGTGCCCCTTGTCACGTGCCCTCTGTGACGGAGTCAGGGGGTCTAAAACATGCTCCTCTTTCCTGCCGGGGCTTCCCTCATAAGCTTGTCCTTTCTCTGAGTTTTTTTTTAAGATTCTTTTTATCGTGAGGGGCATGTTTCCTTGCAGGAGAGTGCAGACGCCAGAGGCGCCACTGTCAGGACTTGATCCTGCGGAGGTGGGACGAGATTCTCACTACGGGCCATTTGGAAAGCCTCTGTGGTTGTAACTGGGGCACAGTGGGCTTCAGCTCCTCGGGAGGCAGGACAGGTCAGTGTCCCTTAGTGCCTGTCCCCACCTCATGTTTTGGCAGAGCTCAAAGGGAAACAGAAGCTACCGGTGTGCATCATACAAAGGCCCCGGCAGTGCCCTTCTTCCCAGCGTCCTGCACGAAACCAGCAAAGCACAGCCCAGGCTATGATCAGACTCTTTTTATTGTTTTGTTTTTTTTTTTACAAACAGGCTTCGGTTAGAAAGAGATGGAAAGGGAAGAGCTGGCTGTCTGGCCGCTCAGCCAATTAAAGCTGCAGAAGCCAGCGGGCCTCGGCCCCACACATCGCTGCGGGAGGGAGGGGACACCTGTCCCGGCTGCCCTTTGCTCCCACTTGCTGACCAGGGTAGGGGAGGGGCTCCCACCACTCCCCGTGGAACACCCGGTATTCCCATTGCCTCATTGAGGGTCATCTTGCTTCCTAGAGAAAGAGAGAAAAGCGCTGTTTGGTAAAGCCTGGCCCAGGCCACACAGGCCGCAGGTGGGCTCAGCCCTTCTCGCAGTCCAGTGCTCCTGGGAGCCCAGGCTCCCCTCTCATATGCCATCATGCTCCAACCCCTTGGCATTTCTTCTATTGCATTCTCCCCGGCCCCTCACTCTCTGGGTCCCCTCCTTTTGACACTCCTCTACAAGCCCCTTTCTACCTTCCTGCTTCCGGTCACCCTTCTGCCCACCCTCCCTCGCACTTCACCCTCATCTGTGCTCTCTGTCCCCCACCTCTCGGCGTTTCTGTCCTGGCCTTTGGCTCTGGCTCTGGCTCTGGCTCTGGCTCCGGCTGCGGCACCGGCCAGGGCCCCGGGAGCCACGAGAGCTGCTGGAGCCTCTGGAAGAGTTGCTGCCGGCCGTGGAACAGGTGCTGGTGCCCTGGCCCCGGGACAGGAAGCTTGGTCTGCTGTATGGGAGCCAGGCCTCTTCTGCAGCACAGGAGGGAAGGGCAGCAGGCCCAGGCAGGGAGAGAACGTCACTGCTCACCCACCTTGCCACCCACCACAGTGCCAGCTCTGGGAGAAGACTGAAGGGCAGGCACAGGGCTCAGCAGTCTGGGGGCTGAGAAGCAGAGTGCCCAGCACACGGCCTTAACATGCAGGTGCTCAGAACCTGTGAGGAGCTCCCAAGCAGAGGGAGCCTCGGGGAATGGGGGACAAAGCACCCAGGCCCCACTTTTCTCTCCTTTGGGCTTCTGTCCTGGGAAAAAACATAACTTGGGGCCTTTAAAAGACTGTGTTCAGAGAGGGCTAGAGAGACAAGGGGGTCTTTGATGTGGATCAAATGCATGAACCCAACTGAAAGGAGGGGTGCGCTGGCCACCATCTGTCTAACTATTAGCCCCCAGTCCCAAAGCCCACCTTCCCCTGTGGCAGCAGCCCTCCCACCTGCCCCAGCCCTCCTTACCATCTGGGTGGGGCTCCCGCTGGTTCCCCAGGGGCATGGCCTGCACCACTCTCCTCTCCCCACTGCGCTCCCGCTCCAAGGAGGACATGCTGCCTGCTGCTCTCAGCCCTAAGGCCCAGTTGGCCTCTTCCTCTGGCGGCGGCAAGGGTGGTGGGGGCAAGTCTGGGGAGGGACCTGCCTTCAGCAGAGTCTCCTGCCTCTCCTGACACTAATCTTCCTCCCACCTCCTTCCCCAGGCCTCAGGAGGCTGCCAATGAACAGCCTTCTGATTTGGGTCCATTTGCTCCCTCCTCCAGACCCCAGAGCTCACCCTCGGTTCCCTGCCTGCCCCCCCCCATTGCCACTATCTCGCAGGCATGGCTCCTCACCCCCAGGACTGTGCTCCCTCCTGTAGGGAAGAGCCCTGGGTTTCTTCCGGACCCGGGCACGCGGTCCTTGAAGCGGGGGAGTCATCTCCCCAGGCACCTGCCGGGTTCTCCCTGTGGCGTTAGGAGACCAGGGGAGGGACAAGTAAGGGAGAGGGTCAGAAGAGGCCTGGGGTGAGGGGGAGAAAGCACTGGAGTGGAAACAGGCAGGGGGTGAGCTGAGGTTCTACTGACTCACCTGGGGCACTGCTGGCTGTGCTAGGGGCAGGGCTGGGGCCGAGGTGATGGGAGGTTGAGGGGCCGGCACCCAGGCCAGCAGGCCTCCCTTCATGGCTGCCCAGAGTGGGCTGGGAGACACTGAGAGGGGAACTTGGCCCAAGGGGCACCCTCCTGCAATGACATGAGGCCTCAGCATCTGTTCTCACCACAAAAACTAAGTGCCTGCTATGTGCCAGGCACTGTGCTAGACACTTAGCCTAATACTCAGATGAACAAGACATAGCCCATCCCCCATAAGACCTCCTAGGCTAGGGGAGCATGAGGAAAGCCATGTTGGAAATGCTTCAGGAAGCCTGCAGAATCACTCCAATGGAGAAACAGTCTGAAGGGAGGGAGAGACCTTATCAACCTCCATGTTCCTGCCCAAATCACACTTCCACCCTGACACAGCCCTGAGATCTCTGTACCCCAGACTCATCTATCCATCCATCCATCCATCCAGTCACTGAACAGATATGTACCGAGGGCTTGCAATGTACATGGTACCGCATACCCCCCTACCTGGGCATCTGATGGAGATGGGGCATGTCAGTGGGGGGCTGGGGAGGGTCAGGAGGTGAGGGGGTAAGAGTGGCTGTGGACTGCTGTCCATAGGAGGGTGTGGGAGAGGGGATATCCCCTCCGGATGGGGTGACCAGGCACCCTCCACTGGAGCTGGGCTCGGTCAGGTGGCTTCTCTCAGGCATTGGTGGGCACCACTCCTCTGGCCCTGAGCTGGGGGAAAGAGGCAGGAGAGAAGTTGGAAGGATGAGTAACTTCTATACCTTCCCCTTGGCTTTCATGTTGCCCCCTTCCCTTTCTCTGCCAGCATCTCTGCCCCACCCAGGAGCCCCCAGGCTGGTACTTAGCGTGTGGGCAGCAGCAGCAGGGGGCATCCTTACCCGCCCTCCAGCTCAGACTCAGGCCCCTCCAGGCAGCTCAGTTCACAAGAAGGGGGAGGTGGGGGCAGGGCCTCTGGCCAGTGTAGCGAGGGCAGCTGTGCAGGTTTTCCCAGAAGCTTCACTTTGCCTCCCCTGGCTCCTGAGGAGAGTAGGATGGGGACATACCCAGAACAGGCAGGAAAGAGCCAGAGATGAGACAACATGTCAGGAGGAAGGGCCAGGCTAGGTGCCAGAGGGTCAGGGTACAGGATACTCTTTGGGGATATTCTTGTCAGGGATAAAGTGGGGGTGCCAGGAGTTGGAGTCATACCACTGTCCCCCTGGCTCCACTCTGGAGGAGCATACTGGCTCCAGGTGCCCGGATCCCCTGAGGGATGTTGGGGGAACCCCCCATGGAAGGTCTGCAGCTCCTCCGCAGCTGGGTCAATGGTGCTGTAGACAGGACCCTCGCCAGGGGCAGCAGTGCCCCGGGCTGTCTGAGCCAGGTATAGGGAGATGCCTGCTTCTGTGGACGAGAAAGAGGGAGGCCCAGGGGAGGAGGCAGGGGCAGGGAGGCAGGGGGCAGAGGCAGAAAAATAGAAGACAACAGGAGAATGGAGGGCAAAAGGAGATCCCACAAGATCAACTTCTCCCCCCACCCCCACCGTGCATCCCAACCCAGGGTAAAGGTCAGGGCTGAGAGAGGCTCCCCAAAATCACAGCCTCCCCAGGGGCTGACCGACCTCAGGAAGACTGGGACTGCTGGGCTTGGCTCCCT